TGAGTGTCTCTCTTGACGAGCTAAATGATTGACCAAGCCTTGCAGCATATTTTGCTACATTTCTTATATGGTCAAAATCACCCATCCAAGCTCTGATGTGTGCTGATGTTAGCCCCTCTATCGGTGCAAACATCCAAGCAGAGTTCTCCCGCAACTGGCTGGAAGAAAAGGCGAGAAACTCAAACTTCTTATCGCCTATGACAATCCCATCGCGAAGGACAGAGTATATCCTGTCGTATAACTTGGTTCTTCTTTGAGTAGAAGAGCGTGGAGACAGATCCATGGAACGAACTTTTTCAAGATCTTCATCAACAAATGATACCCTGAGGAAGTTGTTGATATACTTGGAGTAATGTCGAAGCACACGATTCGAAACATTCACCTCTGGTCCAGAGAAATAGACTCTTGCTGGTGTAACTTGAACGCGATACATATAAACAAGTCCATCATCAAGAGATATCGTAGGAGACAGTGGAAGCTTTCCTTTCGAGCTCAACTCCTTGTACTGTTTGCGAAGCCAACGAGCAGGCTCATAGCAAGATTCCCCAAGGTAAAAGAGTTTCTCAAGACAGTGATCTATGAGAGCTCTGTCAATTTTTTTGGGATTAAGCAACTGATAAACATCAAGATCAAGAGCTGGCCCTGGGAGACACGCGTTCTGCACCAATGTATTAAGTTTAAACAAGATCTCAAAAGGCAAATCAAACCCTGGAGGAGGATCAACAACCGGAACAAGCTTGTTCGCGTTAGATGAATAGCTAGAACCGGATTCAATGAGATAAGTGCTGGCTCTGTGCTCTGCATAGTTGGCAAAATTCTCTCTGAAATCAGGAACATTAAGATGAACAGGAAGCTCTAAACAGAAGGCTGTTGATTGACCGATACAAGAAGATGAAGTGAAATCTGTAGTCCTTATCCATTGCTCATCAGACCCATCACTGTAAAAATCCATCATTCCAAACAAAAGATTGATAGGTTGATCCTCTTTCTCAAAGATTTTAGGAGCACCAATCACCTGAATCACGAGAAACTTCGACGACCGTCCTTGCGGGGAATGCAAATCGATCTGCCATATATTCTCATACGAAAGCTCAAGACGATAGTCCTTTTGATACCAAGAAAACGAAAAATGCAGTTTCCTCATCCCAATTCCAAAGGAGACAGAAACATCTTGAGCACTCCAGAGAGTTAAAAGCGTCTGAGTTGAGACTTGACATCCAAAATACATCTTTAAACCAGAGATGTTGTGCAATGAAGCTCTTGGCTTTGGAACAATGTCTTGTTCCACTTCAAAAGCATTGAGATAAGATCTCCCATAATAAAGACGACGTTCTGCGGCACCCGTGATGATCTGCCTTGCATATATCTCATTTGTGAATTGAACAATGGCAAAGACTCTTGGACCACCTTTCTTTGGTTGTCTAACTTTGATAGCGTAAACAGTGCCTGAACCAGTGAGTCTTTCAAGAAATTTCTTAACTTCCTCTGCGCTCACACCATTCGGGAATCCAAACACTTGAATTGTCTTCCCCATCTTCTCTATAAAATTTTCTTCTATCAACCTAAACAAATTTTTTTTTTGAAGAATCTTAAGATCACACTACTCAAACAAGAACACGAAATAACGAAAGTAGAAACAGAGGTGCTTAAAGATATACGATGACAGATGACTTACCGCGGCGATGACTGATCGATCTTCCCTCTGATGGCCTTTGGATTCTCACTTTCATTTACACTGGGAACAAACACCCCAGTACAATAATTATCTAAAGAAAAAGAGAAGAAAAGACCCAAGTCCACCAAAGACTATAAGTCTTTCTCAGGTTTCTTATTGGCCGAGCTTGTATCCTCTGTTTCGCGTAGGCTTACGTCCGATTGCTGACGTCAATATAACAGAGTTTAATCGGACGGTGGAAAGAGCTCTCTCATTGGTGTATTATTATTAAAGACTAAAGCGAGAGGATCGACTGATTAAGATTTAAGGAGCCTTTAAAAAAGGAAGTAGAGATATTTTCATGGAAACGAAAAATATACAATTCTTAGTAACGAGGGACTTAATTTTTAAACAAGTAAATATATTTGCAATCGTACTATCTTATCATCAAAGTGAAAAGGAAAGACAATGTGGGACCCCTATACTTCAGTGGTTCTCTTCGGTGAGATCCTCTGTGACCATTCCTATTATAAAGCTTCTTCCATTAAACCAAGTCGGTACAGATTCGAACCGGCAAATTGCCAATAGGTTCAAGCGTGGGGATGAGTGAATGAAGAAAGTAACAAAATTGGTCAAATAGAAAAATGAGACAAATTCTTGTCTCAAATCTGATAATACAGTGATCTCTCTTTGTCAAGAATTTCATAACAAGCAAAGTGAGAGGGAGGCTTCAAATTCAGAGAAGCATCTCTGCAATCTGAACAGCATTCAGAGCAGCTCCTTTCCGTATTTGGTCTCCGCAAACGAATATGTCCAGCCTGAATTCACCAAGTTATATCCTTTTAACCTAATGGAAAACAAAAACTCAATTGCTTCACATTCAATAGAAAAGAGTGAGACTTTTACCCGAAATCGCCATCTTGAGACACGTCTCGCCTTATCCTACCAACCGCTACATCGTCTTTGTTAGAGACATCTAGTGGAGTAGGGAAAGTATTTGAAGCACGGTCGTCTATTATATAAACTCCAGGTGCTTTCTTCAGTATCTCCCTTGCTGTGTTCTGTTAAAATACAGTAAGAAAAACAGTTATAACCTGAATAAGAACTTGATCATAACACTCTTTTAATCGCGCAAGAAGAATCACAATACATGCTAGCAGACCAAGTCCAAAGAACAACTTCAGAGTTTAACTCTGCAAGTGCATCAAGAACTATCCGGGCCTACTTATGCTGATTACATACAGCTCCACATTTTTCTACGGGTGGAATTAAACTGACCATAGAATGTGGTTTAAAACTTTAAATCATGATTCAAATCGACATATCAGTGATGAAATCATTAGGTAACACAACAACACAGAATCCGCAGAAATCGGGTTCGATGTGTGTTATTACCTCATCAAGAGGATTCTCAAACTGAAGATTCACACTCTCTGCATGAGCACGCATAACTGGAACACGTATACACGTAGCTGTTACTTTTACTTCTGTGTCATTCTGTGAAGGGCAAGAAAATGGTGTGAGATCTCTAACACAACCAAAATTTTGAACAAAAGATCAAAGTGAAATGAACACAAAGTAACACTTTAAGTAACCCACTCACCCAGATCTTCCTTGTCTCCTTCACAAGTTTCATTTCCTCTTCATTGTAACCATTGTCAAGAATAGGGGCATTATGCGAAAATAAGTTAAATGCATACTGCACAAAACATAAAAACCATCAAATTACTCAAAAAGGGATTCAAGATCAACAGTCAACACATTCGAAACAAACCATAAGCAAATTGAGCAATCACCTGCTGCCCGAAGATGTTACAAGTCGGAGGTTTACCCTCTAAAACCTAAGAAAACACACCAATGCAAAGTAAGCCAACAAGCAGAATCACTACTCAGCACAATCATTAATCAAAGAAGGCTGAAATAGAAACAAAACCTCACGAGTCTGCTGAACAAGCTCTTCCATAGCTGCAGCACCAGCACCACTAGCTGCTTGATATGTACTTACCACCATTCTCTTCACCTATTATTATAACCAATCAAACCTTATTCAGAGCACAAAAGTCTAAAGCTTTCATGGGTTCCATTGATTCTCTAACTACCCTTCAAATTTGGACTAAGACATCAGAATAAAAATCGAACCTTTGCGTGACGATGAAGAGGAGTCACAGCCATCAAACAGATAATGGTGGAGCAATTAGGGTTTGCAATCAAAGCCCCTTTGCCCATTCCAACTTTAATCCCTTTCATTGCTTCTGGATTCACTTCCGGAATCACAAGCGGAACTCCATCAACCATTCTAAAAGCCGAGCTATTATCAACAACAATGGTTCCTTTCTCCGCCGCGAGAGGACCAAACTCCTTGCTTATGGATCCACCAGCACTGAACAAAGCAATGTCTACGCCGTCGAAGCTCTCCGCCGTGAGCTCCTCCACCGTGTATTCACGGCCATCGAAGGCAACACGTTTCCCTGCGGAGCGTTTCGATGCAAGCATCTTGACGGAGCTATAAGGGAAGTCTCGATCGGATAACACGGAGAGGAATTCTTGTCCGACGGCTCCGGTAACGCCAACGACGGCGAGAGAAGGCGCAGATTCTTGGAGAGACATTTTGACTCTTGCGGAGAAGTGTCTGGGTGTAGCTCTGAGAGGAAGGCGAGAGAGGAAATGGGTTTGTGGAGTTTGATGAGTGAACGTCGCCATTGTCGCCGTCGTGAGGAAGAAGAAGTGAGAGATAGAGAGATTTTGGAGGCGGCTGATAGAAAAAGTTTGGGACTTTAAAGAGTGCAAGTGAATTAACCAACATCTTCAAAAGTCAAAACAGCAGGATTTTTTAATTTCATAAACAGAAACGGCATGATGTTTGAAACTGCTCATTCACCAGATTGAGTATATTCACACAACTTTCTCATGCTTAGTCTCATTTCTTCTTTTGGAAATATAAAGTTGTTGAACAGTCCTTTGTCATATATAGTTGGCTTAGGGGTCATATTTTGTCAATCATTTCATTAAAGAGATCTTGATTCTGGTTTTTAGCTTAAGGACATAGCTAACTTTGGAATCTTACAAGTACAACAAGAGGACATTAAGTCTCTAGATGTTAGTCTGGTTCTGATGATCGATTCCTGAGCGAATAGATAGATATCAAGTTATCAACCATGTTCCATCCTCATTCAATGTGTTTTACTTTTGATGTGAATTGGAAAAGATGAAGCAAAAGCGATCACTCAGTGACCAGGTTGAATATAGTCGCACAAGTTTCTCATGTTCTCATTTAAAGATGTAACACAAGTTTTGTTGATTTGTTATGACTTATGACCATTACAGAATGAAATATTAAAGCAGTAGGAAAATAAAATAATAATAGTCAAATAGATTAAAGCAGGGTTTAGGGTTTTCAGGTTAATGCTTCCAAAAGTTAAAGAGTCAGACATTATTGTTTGTTAGAGTTACTGGAGCAGACTGAGGAAGAAGAACATCTTGGATTGCTGTGAGCTTAGCTCGGCCACCGTACTCTTCCGGTAAAGCTTCTGCTCCGATCTCCTCCTCGAATTTTTTCAGTTCTTCTCCGTCCGTTACTATCACAATCTATACAACAACAAAACAAAGAATAATGTGCTTGAGATTGCTTAAAAACATGTTAAAAGAGGGTTATGGATCAAACCTTTTCCTGAGTTGCTTTCTCTAAAAAACGGCAGACGAATTTCCAAACGGTCACGAAGAATCCGGGCATATGCAAGATGTAGCATTTTGCAAGGCGTTCCGGGTAGTAAGACTAGAGAAACATGTTCAAAATTTAAAAGATAGGACCTTCTTTTTTTGTGTGATCTACATTGTTTCAGAAAAAGAGGAGAGCTTACTTGTAAGAATTGAAAGCCAGTGATCAATCCACGAGCATCAAGATTCTTATATGTAATGTTTGCCAGATCAATAACGGCTACTAATTTCTCACCTCCAATTTCTTTGCCATTGTTTCCACTGAAACATGAAAACCAAAAAGCTTGTAATAGAACCGACTAACCAGAAGATTACTGAAGTGTTTTGTTTTGATAATGTGTAAACACCTTGCGATTGTTTTGTCTAGCACATAAACAACGAACTCTGCAACACCAAACACATAAAAGATTAGTTCATAGATACTTATATCAAGAATCAACTCAAGGAAAACACATAATATGGATTCAAAAAACTTCATGCATCTGAAGTCAACTGAATCAACAGGATTTATATGAAACTACTTTAATAACCAGAGAACCAGGAAAGAAGCTGATTAGTTCTATGAATACAAAAAGTCATTGAAAGCCAAGGAACATATTCTATCCACTGAAAGTCAAGGTCAGAAACAAGTGAGAGGTGATTACTCTTGAAGTTAGCTGGATCCTTAGAAGCAAAATGCTTAGAGGTTATGACAAGCACCAAAGGGTGTCCGGATTTGGTTGGACCCTGAAGACAGACCTTTCTGAATTCCAATTCATCCTTCACTTCTGACTCAGGGATGAATCCAGTTGGAGGAATCATGGAGGCTCTCCACTTTTGCCAATCTACAAACATCTTTGCTGCCTTGTCTGGGTCCATTGATCTTGCCACCAGGAACCTCATCAATGTCGGTTTTTCATATCCCTTTTCAGAGGAAACAACCACAAAAAAAAAAACCATGGATGAGATTTTCTGATTATGATGAATGACTTTTACTAAACTGTTTACTGTTAGGGTTTCTGATGGGAAGCTCAAACCTAGCTAATCAGACGAACTACTATGACGAGAATGAGATAGAGTTTTCACAGTGTAGCTCATAAAAATCAAATGACAGATCTTTTTCTCATTTTCTAACGAGACATTGACAGTGAAACTCATGAAACGGCCAAAAGATACAAACTTTGTAAATTTGTAATGAAACTAAAGCGTCGAATTTGATTACCTCAGTGGAGGAAGAGAGTTTCTCGACCGATTTTCTCAACTGGGTCAAGGCAAGTTCTTGGCTTTCCTCCATGATCTTTGGCTCTCAGATCCTCAAAACTCACAGAAAGAAATAAAGAGAGAGCCTTTGTGGTCCGTACAGACGCACGATAATGTCAGTTGGAAAAGTAAAGAGCTTTGATGTTGACAGAGACCCAGAAGCCACAGGAAGACAAAGTATTTGGCACTTGTTTCTACGGTAAGTGGATAGAAGAAAGAAACCTTTCCCCAATTCGCTGCGATGCAATAAATGGACAGCTGGAAGTTGAAGCTCTCTCTCTTTGACTTTTGTTTCTTACTACTTTGACGATTTAAAACAGCTGTGATGATTACATGACTTTTACTCCTAAATCCCGAATCTTAAGGCTTTTATAGGTCTTTTAATCATTTTTCTGATGAACCATGTGAAACAGGCTTGTTAAGGGGTATACTCTAGCTGCTGGTTCTTCATTAAGTGTTGGAAATTTAGTTCTAACGATTTTCATTGTTCGTCACAGAAGAAAAGTCCTTATCGTTGATAAGTTGGTTCTTTCTAAATGAGAGATATAAATTGAATTTTCAAGAAAGATTAGCGTCTTTGTCGTCTATTTGTTTTTCATACAGCTTGAATTGGATCCGAATAATGGCACAAGTGGACACCAACTGAATAAAAATCACAGGTCACATTCTTCCATATGTTCGTTAGTTGTATCCTTTTTGTCTAGTGTCAAGAGTGCGACTTCAAAATATGGCTCAACTGTTCTAAAACCAGTATTCAAGAATCCAAGATACACACCAAAAAAAGTGGGAAAGTTGTGATAGAAATTAGCGACCGAAGAAAACATGAGTAATCGCGTGTGTGTTTGTGTGGATTGGAAGTTAGAACTCCCAACATATCTATTATAATGCAGTGCCCACACGAACAAAGAAATTAACAATATCAAAGAATATTTCTTAGCAAATCCTTACTTCCAAGCCACAGCATCGATGTCATCTCTAGCTTGTTTGTAAAGCTCGAGCCGTTTAGCTAAGGTTCCTCTTCGTTCCATCAGCTGTGGGTCTTCGTCCAACATCGCACCCAGCTTCTCCTTCTGCATTATTTTTTATTAAAAATTTTCTCGATTTGGGTATTTTCTCTCAAGCAACAAAATAATCCAAAGGGTAATAATATAGTTTACCTCTTTCCTGCCAACTTGAGCGTAGAAGAAGTTGAGAAGCGATCTCTTAGCTTCTCTAACTTGGCAGTAAACGACAGCTTTGGGAAGTGAGTTTCTCAATGTGTCGCAGACCATGTTTATGTATGCACTCACGTTGGATCCTGAGTTATCCAAAGTCAACAAACAAAGATTTGATACTGTGTCATTCATAAGCAAAGGGAGGCGACAGACACATACCGATCTTTCTGAAGTGATTATCGGAGTAGGGGTCTGCGTTTGGTGCTGGGGCATTCCTTGGGTTTGGTTTCTCTTTCTCGGGTTCAAGATGCAGTTTCCTGAAGAACTCAACCGTGAGGTAGCTGGATTCCATATCCACCAGACGTAGAACCGTTTTCCTGCTTTCATCTCTGAATCTTTCGAGAGCTTCATTTGCAGCAGCTGCTATATCGCTTGCTAGAGTCGGGAATCGCTTCAGTTCCTGATAAAAACATCAATGGCATTTTAGGACTAAAACAGCACGTAAAGAGCTAAGAGGAATTCTAAAGACCAAAGGCCTCTTCTCAGTTCTTACCTCTGTTTCCGAAATGGACTTTCTGACCAGCTCCTTCAATACGAAATGCACCTAGGAAATATCAAACAGCAATCAAAAATATAGTCAATTTACTGAAATTAAGTCTCAAAAGTAATGGAATCTAATAAATTTTGGAAGCATACTGCATCGACAGTGGCTTCAGCTGGTCCTTTGAAATAGCTTATGGATCCATCAATGAGCCTTCTGTATCCTTGTTCAGGAGCAATAAGATGCGGCTGATAACCATCAGCTTCTGAAACAACCTTCTGCACATTTTTGGTAGAGAGATGTCGATCAAAGGGAAGTTTCTTTAAGGCTGCTGGTAATTGATGGTCAAAAACTCCATAAATCCGGTCTCCACCAGGTCGTCTGATACAAACATCATAATAAATCTAAGAAGACCAACTTTACCGGACTTACATTGTGAAATTATATGAAGCATTTTTTGGCAAACATCTATGAAAAGGTCATTGATGTAATTTTTTAACTAAAACTGCACATCCTTCGTCTGAAAACTGACTAGAAGGTAAGCACATTATTCTGGAAACGCCACTATCTTTAAAAAATTTCATAGACTCCAAATTGAGCATCACAATCGCAATGTAATAGCACACCAACAACTAATTATAAGCTTTACGAATAAGAAGCAGAATAACTAAATCACTTACCCTCCATCCAAGTGCTCCTTAAAGACACGATCAAATGCCCGGCAGAGTTCCAGAATTGTGTAAAGTTGGGCCTGAAATCATATATTTAGAGAGTGACTATCCATACGATTCTGATGCAACTCTGAATACCATTTACTTAATGATTTAAAATCTTACTCCTGAATCTACTGCAATGGGTCTCCCAATCCTATCCAGCTCTGCATTTATCTCATCGATGCTTTTGTTGATCAAAGCAACAATACTGGGTATTTTCTGCCTGATAACAGTCTCTAAGTGCTAATAAAGAGGAAAACAAGGGAGAAAGTCAAAGCTAAGCATTCAAGCTTTAATTTAAATGAGATCTGTGCAAGCAAATCCAACGGGTACCTGAGACAAGAGTTTTGCTAGATATTCTGATCCCATTCTACTGGCTAAGTGCCCGTATTCAGGGCTTGTTTCAAAATATTCTCGCTCTTTTCTACGTGCAGCAATCATATCAACCCTCTTATTAATATCAGCTTGTGAACGATTCACAATTCCAACCCAGGGATGTTGCAAACGGTACGACCTTCCCTCAAGAACCTTCACCAGATAGGTAGAGGAGTTGTCAAAGTATATTAAACAAGTAACTGAATTAGTTGACACCCCAAGGTACAGAAATCAAGAAAAACGCTTACGTCTAGACAATCTGTTCCTTTATCCATGATATCAAGCTTGGTTGCAACTCCAAAAGTCCTTTCGCCTACAGAAATATATTAGAAGGTTAAAAAAATGTTGTGGAGTGTAAAAAGTCACTACTTTCCAGTTACTAGGAAACTACATTTAGATCGTACCTGTAGGATCAACTTCTCTAGCAAGTTTTATAGCGTCCGAGGTAGCGATATCTTGATTTGCTGGAGAAATAGCCAATATGATGCAATTTGGCTGCAGTTAAAACAATTCATGGATAAGCTTCCAGAGTTGATATTATAGTGAGCGATGATGATCAAATGCATTCTTCTGTTCAACTTGGTTGGAAAAGATGAATATATTTCCGAAACCGTCTTAGTAATAGCTTAGAGCAAGACTGACCTTTTCAACATAAGAGCGGACCATATTTTCAATGTCTTGGACAATACTATCCGGTTGTCCCTCTACAAAAATAATATTCATATCATTGACTAGTTTAAGCACAAGCTACTGGATAAAAGAAATATTAAACTCTTACCTACAGCAACCTTCGTCAAACCCGGAAGATCTATGAGCGTAAGATTAACAACTGTAGAGAAAAGAGTAAAGTGATCAAAGTCACATAAAAGAAGTTAGCAAAATTGGAATCTTCAAATCTAATCGTACTACTCTTTAGCTCATTACAGCTGGTATCAATAATATAGAAAATTTACTGTGTTGGTTTCTGAACTAACTACAATAGCAATGCATTACAAGAAAGATGGTCTTAAGCACAAACCATTAGGAGAATATATGCTCAGCTGAATTGGAATGTTTGAGATTTGTTTAGACTTCCCAGTAATACGATCAGTTTCATCCTCAATTTCCTTGCGCACAGCAGCTGGAAATAGAAGAACACTTAATTAGCCCGACATGCCTTTGTGGATTTCATTGTTTCCAGCAATTAGCATGAAAGATTCAGTCAACCTACCAAAATCAGCAAATCTCTTCTTAGGAGCATGAAGAAACTCAGCGTACTCAGTTGTCCCTTCTTCAGTCTTATGAAGCTGCAATACCAATGGCCTCCTAGTAACGATACCTGATAAATCAAATGGTAGTAAAAATGTTCATGTAATGCTCTCAAGATCACAGAGCTTCGCTAAAAAAATTCAAATCGAAGCAACTAAGAGCACGAAAGTTTCCGAAAACCTAGTTTCAAATCCAAACATCGGGGAAGCTAGACAAAATTGCTTAACGAGAGGTACAAATTACCAGATCCACGAGGCAGAAAATCTCTTCCCACAACACTTTCTAGAACTGAAGATTTTCCGGAACTCTGATCCAAAAAATCAACCAAGCAAAATGATAAAATCAGAAACGTAGAGATTAAAGAGGCGAGAAGTGAGATCGGATCTTAACGTAGAAATGTGTGTATTCAATAGAAAGAGATCAAACCTGGCCACCAACAACAGCGACGGTTGGGAGAGCTTCCCAAAGCGACATTCCTTCACCGCCATGATCTCCGAGGACAGTACAAGCCCTCTGGATTTTGTTAATCAGACCTATCAAACTTTTCATCGTCGCCATGTTTCCTGGAAAGTATCACAGATCCAGAAAATCTCTCACCGAAGCTCAGATCTAGATCTAACGAATAATCGGATGATGGATTTGAAACGTCCGGCGAGTTTTTGACTCTCTCGCGGCGGTAGGAGAGATTGATGAATCTGGGAGAAAAGAGGAAAGAACCCAATGGAACAGAGAACGGTAATGGGAAAAACAATTTCAAACCAAGAAAGTAGGACTTCTTATTCAAATATATAATACTTTTGGGCCGAAAGTGAAAATATATCAAATCCCACGTCGCGAAACGCGTACCGGTCAACGATACGGAGCCGGTTCAATCATGTGGTTATGTTCTTTTCTTTTCTTTTCTTTTAATTCAAACTTACTAATTATCATTAAGTCTGATTGAACCGGTTCAATAGATAAAGTCTGATTACAAATGTTGTAAACATCCTTCTTAGTGATGGTTATGTTCATTAACTCTACTCTCGTTTTCTCCAGATTTTTTGGGTTTGACCAGTTCTTTAAAGACAAAAAATTAGGCTGCCAAAATAATCGACAGAGAAATGAGTAAAACCGGGTTAGGTTAACAAGAATATTAAACTAAGAGGAGAGAGTGACACACACACAAGTGAAAGCTTAAAATGTTAAAGAAAACATAATCCTACCTCTACTACTACTACTATACATAACACAACAAAGTAAAGAGATATATCAGCCAAGTGAAGTTAATTTCTCCCTTTACCTTGAATGTTGGAATGCTTTAGAGAAGAAGCACACATCGAATCAATCTGGTTCTTTACATCTCTTTCAGCTTTTGAATCCCTTCTCTCAATTTGACACAAGAACCATTAAAGGCAAGCCACAGAGATCAACCAGTGATTGATCGAATCAGTTTGTCACTGTGTGCTCCTCGTCATCCCAATTCGTCCAGACACTCTACAAAAGATAAAATGCGTAAAACAATAATGACATTTGAAGGTCATACTAGATAAAGCTCATTGTAGTTGATGTGATGATACCTTCCAGAAAGCAGTTGAGCAGTGTTTCCCTTTGAGACTGAGAGACGTCTGGTTTTACTATCTTGTTGTCCTTTATCAACACGCATTGCAGCAACTTCTTTCCCCATTACAGCTACTTCTCTTCGCATCTTCTTTGCCTCAACGTCCATCGCTTTTGTCAATGTTTCAACCTTCTTGGCCAACATCTATATATACAAAAACCAAATCTTTAGACTGTATTATAGAACATTTCATTTAAAGGCTACAAAGAACAGAAAAAAGGCCAAGCAATAGCAAACCTCAATAGCTTCGTCCTTGTCTCTCAGGCTCTGATCTTTTTCATGCGCAGCTTTTCTTAATGTTATGACCTCTTTCTGCAGCAAATCGTACAAGACACCTGGGACGCTATCATTATTTGTTGACTTGTCATCTGATTCTTCTTTCCCTTTTACTGAGCTAGGCGTCTCGCCTCTGCTAGTTCCTTCAGAAGACTGGTGGTTCAAAGGAAAATTTGATCTCGGTCCATTTATTAGCACTTTGCTTCTATCCAATGATCGGGTGCCCCCATCAAATGATCTTGATGTTCCTTTTGCATGCTTCAATACAGTGCTTGCACTAGCAGTCAATGATCTAAACTGAGAACTTGGTGTTCTCTTAATCAACGAGCCATTTGATGTAATTTTTGGACTTGTTTCAGCTCCACCAAGGGATTGTCTTCGAGAAGGCCCGTTGCTCGAGCTTCTACCAACGGATGTGCCTCTGCTGCTGCTGCTTGCAGGCCCCTTTAAACTCTCTTCTAACACTCTAAGCCGCAGTAGAAATTTCTCCTAAAATAAGTAAAATCAGCAATTCCTAAGTTAGGACATAAAAAAAAGATGGTTAACAATGTCCCGCAGCTATGATTCTACCTTCAGCTGAGCTTCAGATTTTGCAGCTCGGTCAGCTATGGCAAGTTTGTCGCGTAGTTGTTGCATTTCTCCCTGTCCAAACAGAACGGCGATGGCAGTAGTTTTAGTTAATCTCTGTAAATATGAATCGCAACTTGAAGCAGCATGAGAATTTAAATATTATATATTTATATATATCAACAATTACCTGCAGAAATCGACGTTCTTCAAGCCACTGCCTTACAGGCATCACTTTGTCATTAGAATCTTTCCATTCGTTTGCTACAACAGTAGCAACTCTGTTTGCATTTACCTTTGCACGGGCCAATTCCCGTTCAAGAATTTTCCTCTCTTCCTAAGGAAAAGACAAAACACCACAATTACGATCAGTACGAGACCAAAACACTAACTAACAAGAAAAGCAGTAAGTTACTGAGGCACTATAGAGTATAGAGAATACGAAATATACATTCATTTCTTGAAATTTCCTCTGGTAATCTCTCACTGCATTTGCGGCTGCACCACCAGCAAGAACAGCTTCTTCTAACTCTCGCACACTCTGCATAAGCTTTTCAACTTCTGCAACCTTCTGTCTGTGCATCTTGTCTATAATTCTATTTTCTTCCTATTATAACAAATAAGGCCACCATATGGTAAGAAAGGGAAGAGATACTGTATTTTAATGTTCCAATGTGTAAAAGAAATGATATAGACATACCTGACAAATTTCAATCTGTTTCATCAATTCTTGATTCTTATTCTGGAGATCATCAACCATTGAAGCCTTTGCCAATGCAGACTGAACTGTCCTTTCAGCGTCAAGCAAAGCTGCTTCCTTTGATTTGGTTAGGCGGTCCAATGATCTGTTGTCGTCTTGCAGTTTAGCAATCTACCAATCAAAACATGTAAAACCAAATGAGAAGGTTGTTAACTTGTTGAATCCAGCTATACAAAGATAAGGAAGGAAAATACTTCTAGTCTGGCAAGCTTCAGTTCAGCTTCTAAAGGGGCAAGAATAGCTTCAATTGGAGGCATGTCATCATCCTTTTGAGCAGCATGAACCCTACGAAGAGAGGCTTCTGCTGCAAACTGAGCTGCCATGGAAGCCTTCTTTTCTTCATTTATCATCTTGATTTCAAGGTTCTGTGACAACATACAACATTCTCACATACAGAATTAAGAGAAAAAAAACAAAAGGAATCACAGAACAAAGGAGAGATATTACAAGCATACTTTACTCTCAAGAAGATTTTCAACCAGTTTGAGTTTTTCCGCCATCTTTCCCAACTCTTCAGTGAGCTTCAACACTCAAGTCAAACAGCAAAGAGGTCAGTACACAGAGAGTGTAAAGACATTAAACATAATAAAATGCGCGGACATAACCTTAGGATGGTTGTAGCAATACCCAAATCAAACTGAAGTAAGATCAGAGACAAGCGATATATAGCTGAGATGACTAATTCCAAATAACCAAGTTACATGACTAGTCCATCTTCTATAAATAGGAATATCACACACAATGCGACTCAAGTTCAATACTTTGTTTATGCAATGGAAGCTTAAAAGAATAAGGGCTTAAACCTCTTCAACAGCCTTCTCTCTTTGTCGTTCAGACAACCTCAAAGCTTTGATTTCAGCTTGTCCTTCAGATAATTCCCTATCCTTATCTGTATAACCCCAAGTCAATGTTACAATAACAAAGCATGCACGTTGCTAAAACAAAAGTCGTCCAAATCCAAAACCAATTTCAAATTCCATAGTCAATCACCAACATTCTCGTACCTCTGACTTCATTCTCCAGCCGATTTAACTCAATTCTCACGGGATCTGAGCCATGTAGAAGGTTCATGAACTCGTTATCCGCGTCAAAGCTTGGTCTCATCGACCTCCGTCGTGATAAGCCCTTGCTTCCTCCTTCTCGATACGACGCCGATATGGCCAATGAAGGTGACATAAATCCTCTTTCCTCCATGTCTTTTTGCGATCTCAATCCTCACCACAATTCCGAATTCCAAATTGAACCAAATGCTAAAAGTTCTAAAGTTTCAACAACAGACCAACAAAAATCAACTATATACACACACATAAGCCCAAGCTCATCAAATGCTAGGGCTTGAAATCGTTTAAGAGAAGAGAACACTTTTGTTTTTTAGTTTTGCAGAGAGAAAGAGAGAGATTTAAATGAGGTTTAAGGGTATGGTTAGTTGTTAAAGAGTGACAACGATAGAGACAGAGATATTGATTAGCGTCACTCTTAGTTACTACTGTTTAATTTACTCATAATAGTTGAGATTAGAGAGTTAAAAAAATGATTTTAGTACATTCTTGTCCAAAAGAAATTACCATAACACTGGTGTTCGTATAAATATGGTTAATTTACATTGAAGGAATTAGGGACCATCTGTATTTATTTATTTGTATGTGTTGTCAAATTATTAGGGACCATCCCATTTTGTCCAAACATGTACGACAAATGTAAATTCACTAGAGACCATGTCTCCTTTTTCTAAAATGAATGACACAACTTCTAATCTGTTTTCTTTTATACTATCAAATTTCAGATTAATTTTTGTATGTATATGTACATTCATGTTATTTTCCTCTCTCTTTTTTCATCAATGCATATATTTGTATAGATTTTTTTTGAAAAGGGGGTGCTATGGAAGTTTAATTTTCGTTGAATTTGAGTATATTTCATTTCTTCAAGATACTACTATAGCTAGTGAAGAAATCAATGTAAGAGGAGACAAGAATCTTTGAACTTTAAAGAGCCGAACATGTCCCAAGTCCGGACCACGGTCAAACCAACTAATCTCAAATTTTGAGCTGTTTTATTTACATTATCTTAGTTTTTATTGTATTACATTATTCATCTGAACACGTTTCATCTAGATTTTAATAGCAAGCAATTCACGGTTCCAAAATTTAACGACTTTCTGATAGACGATTCAAACTGTAACACACACATCCCACAAAAGAAAATGTTATCTGCAACACGCAGAAATCGTCATTAAGTTTACTTGTATAAACAACCAAAACTTACATACCCGTGAATATAATTTCTAAGTTTGACGTAAACACACTAATCTATCCTACCTATTAATTTTGATGCTAATTATTCTGTTGTGTTCTGTTTTCCTCGAGTGGAGGATAAAGATCAACCAAAAAGGGGAAACAAAAGCTGCCAGCAAATTCGACTTTGGTTCTATGAAAATATGGAATGGAATCCAACGTCGAGAAGCACGATCAGTCGAAAACAAAAAATTTCAGAGAAAACTCCCAATTGTGTAACTTTTAACCAATATTTTCTTTTAAAAGCTTTGGATACATCATTTTCAAGTTTGTAAGAAATTAGCATGCAAATACAATATACTAACCAGCTTTGAAGGAAGAAAAAAAAATATAACATGTATTAGCCAACAACAACACTCGATAAAGAAATTACAGAATACACAGAGAATTGACAGACAAGGCGCCAAATTTAAGAGGAACTACAGAATTATTTTTCTCTTTTCGTATTTTTGATTCTCTTTGAAGACTAAAGAAGGGGAAATTTCCCCAAAGAGCAATTTAAAGTTACAAGAAAGCTGCTAAACCCTATTATGTGAAATTGGATTCATATTAAAAAAAAAAAGGAAAAAAATAAGAGTGATAGATCAGAAGGAGAATGGACTTAAGAGAGACTCGTCAAGTTCTTTGAAACCTGCGTATACATTCTCCGTCTTGTTCGGTGGCAGAGCCAGTCTCCTAACCTCTGTCATATACCTGTTTGTAAGAAGAAAAATCGTCGAGTTTTCAGAGATTCTTGATTTTAAGATATACTTCAAAATTAGGAGTAGGCAAAAAAAAAAAAAAATCAAATCGAACTAATATGACAAAATAAAACTTGCCTGTTTGCAGCGTTTGCAATCTTATCACGGACCCCTTGGTTAAGAGCAGCTTTGTTCTCTAGCGCAAACGAGCCGCCTAGTATTAGAGAAGACCTGGTTGGACTCGAGCCCATTCTGTCTGACAGTACAGACATTGCCCATTCACGGAGCACCACTAGAACCGAACAAAGGAGGCGGATTCTTAGATTTGGGGATGGCACAATGGCTGCATTGGATAATAAACGGTCATAAGCGTTGAGCACAGGTTCAGCTGCGCCTTTGCAAGCGGCTAGAAGAGCTTTAGCTATGACTTCATCCCCAACATTTTCAATCCTCTCTGATCTCTCCTGTAAAATTTTCCACAAGATGCACTCAAAGTCAGTTCATAACCCAATGAAATGAATCAACAACTTAACGAGAAGGAGGAGCTTACAAGTGCAGCTTTCTCGAGGTGAAGGCATAAAACGTTGAGCGGTAAAACAACTCCATCGCCAGGGTATATATGAGATCCGACTCTCTTAAGAACTGCACAGGCCTCAGCTATCCCGCCTTGTGAAAGAGCTTGGTCAATAAGTCTAGCCCATGTTTCCCTTATTATACTTGAATCAGCATCACCAGAATAGTTGGCAAAGTAGAGCATTTCCAGACAGATCTGCATAGAGTGAAGCCAGAACAGCAAACAAGCAATGTAAAGCCTACACAGAGAGTTGACTATAATAGCACTGAATCTTTCCAATTCAAAAGTTTGATCTTATGATTTTCCAATTTTAAAACTAGGATACTGATACAAGAATTCTCAGCATGACCTAAAACAGTCATTATCAACTTTAAGTTAGGTTTAGTATAAATAGAACCTACGAATTTACAGAATATCTGCTAAGTTCCAGCTAGAGAGGAATAGTGGCTATCCTTTTTTCTATGGTTACTTCTAGAAAACCAGTTAACCAGAAATATGGTCCAAAAATACATTGAAAAACGAGAATATATTATATATATATATATATATATATATATGATAGTTTATGATTTTAAGACTCACCTCCCAGAGCTCAAATGGGACAGCATACTCATTATACAATTGTGTTACGCTTTTAAGTTCCGAGGAGAGCTCCATGGCCATTTCATTTGCTGCATTTGCTAAGCTGGAATCATCACTAGAATCACCATCAAGTACTGGCCCGCCGTTCTGGTCAGAGTCCTGCATGGCAACCGAGGACTCGAAATTGGAAGCTATAGCTACAAGTTTGTCCCTAATCTTAATTTGGAACTGAAGAACTGCGAGTTTTCCTTCAAGCAGATCAAGCAATCCACTGTCAGAAACACCTTGAGCAGAACCTACTAAACCATCGCTATTACTCGCATTCTTGGCCTGTAAAACTGCGTGACTTAGGTATTGTCGCCTAAATTCACAAGGCAGCAACCCATTAGAGATGAAAAAGGAGGGAGAGTAGAAGAAACAAGGTAATGTGACTTAGGGAAATATTCAACATCTAATTTAGGGATATATTCAACACATAACATAAAAGAATGTTTACCTTTGATCAAGGGTAGGATTGTCTCCTGAACTAGGAGCACGTCTCTCTGCAAGCCTTAGAAGCACGTGAGCAGCAAGCACATGCTGTCTCTTTGACACATAGTATTTTGCAAGAAGATCAAAATATTTTGCTTGATTTGATGAAATCTGTGTTCCTGAGTGACCCAGCGGAGATGATCCATTAGATACAGCTCCAACCTATGGCATAAGGAGACAAATGTAAGTATTCCTAGAAAGTAGTTGCAGTGTCTACCACTAAACCTGACTTGTTTTTTGTTTCGCAGTTGGTGACAGACTAAGGCTGCTAGTTTTTAGCTATGGAGGTTATTTAGTATAACAAGTAGACAAATCCCTGAACGTTTAAGGTTGTGCCTCATTTACGTGACAAAATACGATAGAAAATCTTGACACCATAACAATGGAAATAACTTAAAAGGGCTAACGTGTAAATAGCAAACCTGTGATGCAGAATGACTGCCAGCATTCTGGAGAAAAGGTACCAAATCCGGACCTCCGTACTCCAGGAGCTCGTTTTCAAGACCCAGTTCAATCATGGCCTTGTATAGGTACTCCCGGAACGCTCTGTCAGTTGATTGCACACCAAGATGAACGATCTGGCATATATCTTGACTACGTGAAGCCTCGTCTAGCATGGGACTAGCTAGAGACCGCAAGGCATTGGCAATAATCTCATAGCATTGTTTCCGCTGGGCAAGAGCATGCTCTCTTATGGAAGCATCAAGTTGGTCATTGAAAGCATCGCCAGCAGGATCAAGAGCTTGGGCCTTCTGCAAAGGCAAGCAGACAACAGCTTCATAGAACCTGTAGAAAATTAGTCTGAGTGAATACCAAGAAAATGGAATCTTAAAAGAGAGGGTAACAAAATATGTATCATGTATAATTGATTTTGAGTTAAGTTGCAGTTTTGCCTTGATGAAGTTGGTTTAGGGCACACTTTATTCTTGAGTGAATCCTTAATTGTAAATTCGATTTAAAAGGCTAAAATGATTCAATTTTTCTTTGACTGCCACTAAGAATAATAACTTTAACACATAAATAAAAACAAAACTAAAAGGTTTATTGACCAACGATCACAAACTACAACCAACCAAGTGTGTAGACATCTACTTGGATTAAAAAACTAACCTCAAATCCTCAAAACGTTTGCAGACAGTTCGGAGATCTGCAGATCCAGGGACCTTACTCAAGAAACTGAACGCCTCTCTAGCAACATTCTCCTTCTCTTCAGCATCTGAGATTAAAGCAGCTCTCTCAAGGCGTTCAACAGCTAAGAAGAATTTGTAATCAGACTCCTTGAAGTAACTTGGGCAACCTTCACGTAGTCGCCCGCTAATATCGTCAACTGTTCCCCTGCCATCTGAGGTAGTATAATACTGGTGCAACCATAGTATCACAATTAAATTAGTGAGTCAAAACATTTAGGAAGAGGACACTAAGGCTATATAAAAGGGTGGTACCTCCATCACGGCAGCTATGAGCCTTGTTGCAATTTGATCACCCTCTTCAGAACAAACTAGCTGATGGAATGTCAACTGAACTAAAGCTTGCTTTAGATTTGCATCAAGCTCCTGAACTAATCTAGCAACATGATGTTGAGAAAGAAGTTGGAGTAGGAAAAGAGCTTCTGCAGATCTGAGAAGCAACTGCCTAATACACTCCATAGCCCTCACCTGCAGGAGGGTAAGACTAATTAATGACTTCCACAACAGACCAATAAAAGAGGAAGAAAGTCACACTAGATTTCTAAGAATTCAACAAATTATACCTCTGTG